CTCGGATCTAAAAACAGTGCATCTTAAGGTATCTTCGCGACATAACCAAAGCAATTCAGCTCATGAATCTGCCTTTTTCCGCACCCCGAGGTCTGAATTCTTTGGTTCACAGCGGCCCTCATGTGTACGATGCCACTTTTGCATCGAAAAGACTGATTTGTCGGAGCTTCAGAAGTCCAGCTGCCACGGCATGACCTATGCATCACTTGATGGAAATTCTAAAGGCCGTTTTGCCACAAGTTTCCAGTTGATGCAATAAACCTTCGCTGGTTTGAACATAGGTCATTGAGTCGAAACAAAGAGATTGAACTTGTCGCTTGCGCTGGCTCTGCGCGAAGGGGGATGCAACTGCTGAGAGTCCAAGGAACATAATCTAGACCCCATTGGGCGGACTGCTGTATTGGATGATCCACACACACAAAAACAAGACATGTGACATAGGTGTTTGATTCTTTGGGGGCAACCTGGGCATAGATCCCTTGCTCGTACCACTTAAATAGCGGGTACAAAGTCCTGAGTAGACACATAGTGGGTCACCACAAATAACGGCCGTCTCAACCCATCATTCAAGGTCCAGGTTCAGCGAGCCTTTGTGGGTGGAAGGGGAAGTTGGGCGTCCATTTCAGCTCTACTTGTATTACAGTAGTCACAATGACTCACAAGCCTTGGGAAAGCCGGTTCGCATCTACCTCTTGCGGGGGTTGAGGTCAACGAAGCACTTTATCTCACGCCGGGTCAGCCACCTCATCCTTGATGAAGCCAGCTAGCTCCTGGCAACTCAACAAGCTTGAGAAAGAAACAAGTTCAAATCACACTACAGCTGGTGATTGAAAATGCTTGGAAATTCTGGCTGTGTGCCTCATCAGGAAGTTGGAAGAAGATCCGCTGCATCTCAATCTGGCCACAAAATACAGTCTGACAATCTGCAGACCTTCTGACATTGTTTGCACACCAGCAAATATGCTAAACCACAGGGTCGTTCTTTGACACCCATTTTGTTGATTCCACCTTACAGTATCAGGCCCTTTGTCTCGCTTCCCGTGCTTTTGCTCTTCTTCAGTCATTGTTCTTGGCTTACTTGGGTTCTTATCTTTGATACAGGCATGTATCGTTGAGTTGACGGATGATTGATGACACTGCGTAAGTAGCCTTATGTGTATGAGTGTCCAAAACCGATAATCCAGCATCAAAGAGAAGACTTCTAGCAGTGGCACCCCGGCACCTCTGAAGAATCGCACCTGCAAAGTTTGACCACACACGGCACACACATCAAGAGACCCATGAGCATGCTGCCAGGCACCTGCCTGGAAGCTTCCAAAAAGCGGCCAAAACCACCTGCTGACTTCCGATGAAGAAACAAGTCAGAGAGGAGCACCAAAGGAAGACTTACCACGTCAGAGTCAAGCACCATATGGTCAACTTGGAACTCAGTATAAGACACCATTCTGTGGGACCATTTTTTTGCATGCGTTTCTAGTAGCGAGTGGCAGTTGCCAAGACCCAAGGCTAGATCATATTGTTTGAGTCTTGCGTCGTGAAAAATGGACATTAAGGATGGAGTTCTTTTTGCCTTCATGCGAGATGCACCTCTTCTGCTTCTCCAATTCTCCCAAAAAATGCAAGACCTGCAAGACCATGTCCATTCTGGGGCTCCCAAGCTGAGTGGAATTTGCTGAACAAGTCCCAAAGCCTGAGTTGGGTTTGAGCCACTGCTAGTCTTGACATGGAGACAAGTGCTCCCATGTCTTTCACATTAGCAATAATGTCATCATGGGGGCTGGTCAAAACCAAACACCTCCAATCCATAGTAGGGTGGGGCACAGCAAGTGTTTGTACAATAGTGGCCTGAAGTTGACATCTATTCGGGAGAGCAAGAAAATCAACAATATAACAGAGAAAGAGACGAACCAAGGCACGAAGACACGATGGGCATACGAACAATGTAGGAATTAAATGTCTACACAAGCTTATCTGCGTACTCCACGTTGACTAATTTTGGATCTTAAATAGTAAACCGCCACCCCTAGCAAACAACTGAGAAGAGTGAACAGAGTCAGCCCCACCAATCTATTTGGGATGGAGTAGTAGTAGTAGTAGTAGTAGCAGTAGTAGTAGTAGTAGTAGCACTACTGCTAGAGTAGCAGTAGCAGTAGCAGTAGCAGTAGCAGTAGTAGTAGTAGTAGTAGCAGCAGCAGCAGCAGTTGTTGTTGCAGTACAGCAGCAGCAGCAGCAGGAGTAGCAGTAGTAGTAATAGTAGTAGTAGTCGTCGTCGTCGTAGTATCTTATCTATACATTAGTAGCATATACAATAGAAAAACAAAGCTCAGACTTTTTCCAGGGCTCCACGTTTGCGAATTATTCCGACCCTCTATACAATTCGTGCAATTCACTTCCCTGGACTTATGTACTCCCTCTTGAAAAGTTGTTTGGAGCAATGACTTCGATGAGTCTTAATAAGGGTTTTCCAAAACCAGGTCAGAGTTCCAAAGGGAAGCAGTAGCTGAACAATAGAGAACTAAATCAATACAACTGTTATATTTAAAAAAATAGAAAACTAAAATAAATAAATAAGAAATTCAAAAAAGATACACCCTGGGCGAAAAGAACTTTTTACTGTAAATTCCTACCCACTAAACTATTCAGGCTGTGGGAATAATTTCACAAAAACTGTGTTGTGTCCCTCCCTCTTTCCTTTATTAATTGTGACCTGCATCTCTGGTTCTTGATCAGGCACTTGATGCCAGGACGGGAATGGAGGAGTCACTTGCTACATGGAACCTCTTGAATGGGTCGGGAAAGTGTTGTGATTGATCTGTCCGCAAACGAGGGCACCGGGAGTGTATTTTTGGGGTGTTCCCAGGCGTTCCCGGGCCAGGATGTTTGACCGTGGTATGCTTCGGAGGTATGCTTTGCCTGAGTCGAACACCCCAACTACATAAACTGGGCATGTAAAAAAGATACAAACCCAGGTTGACATCTCTGGGGGCTGCGGCTTTTTCGTTCCCTGAATGGTGTTTTCCCTTCCCGGGAGGTGTTGGCTTCCCGCTCGGGTGTTTTTCCTTCCCTGGGAATTGTTTGTTCCCCTGGTGTTTTTCGTTCCCGTACGCCGCGGTGTTTTTCGTGCCCGGCTGGTGTTTTTCAGGCCTTGAATGGTGTTTTGTGGGGCCGCTGGTGTTTTTTGTTCCCTGAAAGGTGTGTATTGTTCCCAGCGTTCCGGGTTTGTATGAAAAAGTGAAAGGGTGTTTATTGTTCCCTAGAGAAAGTGTGTATTGTTTCCAAAGTCTAGCTTGCGGCCGGCTATCGCAAAAAGAAAAGAAATAGGAAATACAAAGAAACAAAAAGGGCACAAGGAGAAGAAAAGGACTAAACTTTGCTCGTTTGATCTATTCTGTCTGAACTATGCAGAGCTCCGGGAAGGAAGAACACCCATACAGGAAAGGAAAACACCTACCTATACGGGAAGGAACAACACCATTTTAGGAAGGGGAAACCCCCGGGAAGGGGAAACACCATTCAGGGAAGGAAAAACACTCCGGGAAGGAAAAACACCCATACGGGAAAGGAAAACACCCATACGGGAAGGAACAACACCCATACGGGAAGGAACAACACCATTTCAGTAAGGGGAAACCCCCCGCGAAGGGGAAACACCATTCAGGGAAGGAAAAACACCCTACCCCATCTCTGGCAGTGGATTTTGCTTGGTTGATCCCGGGGTCCCGGGGCTTCGACCCATACATTTGGGATTCATGGCCACCCAGAAAGGGCTGCAACAGGTGTCTGGGAACCATAGAACGCACACAACAGCATGGCGTAAAGGTGTGTTGTCTGGGTATGCCAATCCCAAAGTTGCCACTGAGAAACTAGGCGTCCCAGCTGAATCAATCTGTCGATCTTTCTCATAAGCCAAGTGGCACACGATGGACCTTTGGCATTGCCCAAATCATAAGTACTGTACAAGGTTGAAGTGGAGACGCCTCCTTCATGCTTGGACTTCAAGTTGACATCTACATACAGAGATGCGCGACTCTGCTGAGCACATTACCACAACGCCTCAGAGCCAAGTGTGAAAGTGTTTTGCAACCTCCCACTCGTGTTGCTCCATGATGTTTAAGCCAGACTTCAGCGCCCTGAGTGCAAACCTCCCATCCATGCTGGCACCACCGCAAAGTCACTCTTTTGGAGAATTGGCACGGGCTTCATCCCAGTCTCCGAGGGGATCGTGAAAGGCATTTTGAGGTCTCTTCACATGCGAAGTCCAAGAGCAAACCTACAACTGGTCCAGTACGATGACAATGCATAGTTGCTGTTAACCAAACCAGCAGATTCAGCCTTTGCCAGAAAGAGTTCTTCGAACCGCATGCGCTGATGTAGCCAGTCTTTGGCTTGCCTTGTCAAAATTGAATATGTCTTGGTGACCCTATCCATGGAACACCGGAACACTGTACACAGGCCGCGGCCAAGACTCTTGGTGCACAAAGGGACTCTGCTTCCAAAGTCCAGCTGTTTGGATCTGCTTAAAATAGTTAATCATTTGCATGCCAAGTAGCTTGCACCATGGGCCATGGGCCGTGGGTCTCGCACGGACTTTTAAGGTGTCTAACACAGGTCTAGCAAGCCTGATACTCCTAAGAGTGGCCAGGTCGAAGAGAGAGAGAGATTGAGTGTCTCTTGAGTTTTAGCAAGGTTTGACAAGCTCAATCTCTGCGTGCCAATATTCATGCAGGGCAATGGTCTGGACTCCAGCAGATTGATGAGCTAAGAATGCTGATGCACAACAAAGGTGCTCTCAGGAAAGGATCATGGCATCTTCCTATGTTGTGGATGATTAATGATTCCAAACAAGCGGTTGTGGATCAAACCGCTTCAGCTTAAGAAATCCTGTCAACGCAGTGAGTCTTGAATGAAGAGTTCTACTGTTTCACTATGGTTTGACATCAGAAGTCGTAGCTACCTTAGCCCTTCACACGTGAGCCTTAACACGTATCAAAACCAGCTGTGCCACGTCCTTGATCTAACTATTTGCTCGATTGCCAAACCACTGTTACAAGTCAATCTTGGCAGTCTGCTTTGAAGACTGGAAGGGGCACCTTGATTCAAAATGGTTCCAAATTACTTGTATACAGATTCATCAAAGTCCCCTACTACTTACAAATCGCCAAGCCAGTGGCTTGGGAACAGCGTTGCTTCCATCTCATTCACGGCAGAAAGCTCCAGAAATTCAGTTTCAGCTACCTTGCAGACGCGCACCTGGGCCATAGGTTTGACGGGGCCGGAAAAAATACAAATCTCTTGTGAGGTCACAAAGGCAGGTTACACTTCCATGTACTTCATCTGATTATGCTGTGTGATGTGTCTTGATCTGTTCATGCTAGTGACTTGTGCAAACCCGAAGCCTTCCGAGCCAAGAGCGCTGCAGCTTGGAGCTCATTTCTCTAGACCTTCACCTCGGTCAAGGCTCACATGCCAAGTAGCAGGTCATGTGAAGTTCGTCGTGGCGTGTGTCAAGTTCTGTGTCGGCCGGGACACTACAGCCGCCACCACAGTTGAGAGAATCGCCGCCAAAGCCAAAAAAGCACACAGAAAGGGCATGGCTAGCGAAAAGCCACCTGCCTCCAAGGCCAAAGGTGTGAAGCGCTTGAGTTGTTTGATCCAACACAATCAGTGGCACTGGCGGTGCGTGAAGATTAGGAACAACAAGCTACTAGGGGCTCCTGGCCTTACTACTAGGAGCAAGGACGCTACTAGGGGTTCCTGGCCTTACTACTAGGAGCAAGAAGCTACGAGGGGCTCCTGGCCTTACTACTAGGAGCAAGAAGCTACTAGGAGCTCCTGGCCTTACTACTAGGAGCAAGAAGCTACTAGGCTCCTGGCCTCGCTACTAGGAGCAAGGACACTACTAGGGGCTCCTGGCCTCGCTACTAGGAGCAAGGACGCTACTAGGGGCTCCTGGCATCGCTACTAGGAGCAAGGACGCTACTGGGGGCTCCTGGCATCGCTACTGGGAGCAAGGATGCCACTAGAGGCTCCTGGCCTCGCTACTACGAGCAAGGATGCTACTAGGGGCTCCTGGCTTTCCTACTGGGAGCAAGGACGCTACTAGGGGCTCCTGGCCTCGCTACTCGGAGCAAGGACGCTGCTAGGGGCTCCTGGCCTCGCCACTAAGAGCAAGGATGCCATAAGGGGCTGCCTCGCTACTAGGAGCAAGGACACTACTAGGGGCTCCTGGCCTCGCTACTAGGAGCAAGGACGCTACTAGGGGCTCCCGGCCTTACTACTAGGAATGCGAACGTGCCCTGCATAGTGTCTCTCATACCCTGCTGCGCCTTCCGAAGTTCACCCAAACCAATGGTAAAAATGGCCTCACAAATACCGTGGATGCTGCAGACCACACCACATAATTTGAAACATAATTCTCCTATGGTGCAGTGCCCGGTACTAACATGACTCAAGATATGTGTTTGTTTGCTTTGTTTCCACCACTCCAATCACGAGAGATTAGCTAGGACAGCTACGACTATTTTCAGACTCAATTATCACAACAAATATCTACTTCTGGCACCATTGAAGTCGAAGAAAACAGGCATCACCCATTCAAATCACACAACTCCAAAGGCCGCTAGTGAATTTGAGCACGTTTTTCCGAAGCCATGTTCACAGTGCCTGGCCAAATCCAAACAAGCTGTCCAGCAATCCAAAGGACTTTCCGCAGGAACCTCGAGGCGTGGGCTTCCCTCCGCGGAGGTGAAAAAATGTTAAAAACGTTACTTCAAATAAGTTTTCTAAACTCAAATTATCCCGGCAAGAGACCCCTAACAGTGTGTGTGAGGTCTGCAAGCAGAAAGTCTAGAGTCTAGAGATCTACACGCATTGGGGTCCAGAGAGGTGATGGTGGTGATGAAGTGAAGGCGGTTGAGTGAGTGTGGGTGAGAGGGAGCGTGAGTGTGAGTGAGAGTGGGAGAGTGAGTGTGAGTGAGAGTGAGAGTGAGTGTGAGTGTGAGTGGGCGTGAGTGAGAGTGAAGTGTGGGTGAGAGTGAGAGTGAGAGTGAGAGTGAGTGCGAGTGAGAGTGGGAGAGTGAGTGTGAGTGAGTGCGAGTGTGAGTGAGAGTGAGTGTGGGTGAGAGTAAGTGTGCGTGAGAGTGAGTGTGCGTGAAAGTGGGAGAGTGAGAGTGTGAGGGAGTGTGAGTGTGAGTGAGAGTGAGTGTGAGTGAGTGTGAGTGAGAGTGAAGGTGGGTGCGAGTGAGTGTGGGTGAGAGTGAGAGCGAGTGTGAGTGAGAGTGCGAGAGTGAGTGAGAGTGTGGGTGAGTAAGTGTGCGTGTGAGTGTGTGTGTGTGTGTGAGTGCGAGTGCAAGTGAGAGTGGGAGAGTGAGTGTGAGTGTGAGTGAGAGTGGGAGTGTGAGTGTGAGTGAAAGTGGGAGAGTGAGTGGGAGAGTGAGAGAGTGCTGCACCTGCCACGAAATCGGCACTTCGAGGTTCACCAAGTGCTGTGCCTGCCACGAAACCTGCACTTCGAGGCTCACCATGCGTTGTGCCTGCCACGAAATCTGCACCTGAGGTTCACCAAGCGCTGCACTGAAATCTGCACTTCGAGGTTCTTCAAGCGCTGTACCTGCCACGAAATCTGCAGCTCGAGGTTCACCAAGCGCTGCGCCTGCCACGAAATCTGCACATCGGGGTTCACCAAGTGCTGTACCTGCCACAAAATCTGCACTTCGAGGTTCACCAAGTGCTGCCCCTGCCACGAAATCTGCACTGCAAGGTTCACCAAGCGCTGCACCTGCCACGAAATCTGCACTTCGAGGTTCGGCAAGCGCTGCGCCTGCCACGAAATCTGCACATCGAGGGTCACAGAGTGCTGCGCCTGCCACGAATTCTGCTCACAGAACGCTGTGCCTGCCGCGAAATCTGCACATCGACGGTCACAGAGCGCTGTGCCTGCCACGAAATCTGCAAACGAGCCACATGTCCAAAAGTCACGATTCACTGCACCTGTACCGAAATCTGAGCTCCTCGACGATCACCACCATGTCCAAAGTGCCACGAAAACTGCATTTCGAAGTAAAACAGCTCCGATCCCTTGCACCTGTCACGAAGAGTCGACTTTGGAGCACCAATTGCGCCTGCCACAAGAAGTGATCACCATGTGCGAAAATGCGCACGGCGCCACAACGAGAGCGCAGTCGCTGGAAGCACATACAGTGAATACATAACTATTTCATTCATTCCACAAAATCATCACTACTAACCATCTATTACCTCATTCATTCCTCAAAAATCACAACTACTAACCATCTATTACCTCATCCCTTTTATTGAAATCATAACAGTCAATACATAATCACCTCATCCATTCCATACCCAAAAAACAACCAAACAACAAACAACAAAACAAGCCAAGCAAAGAACAACATAAAAGAAACAAAACAATAGAAAACAATATAGCATAACCCCTTACCTTTGATAATCCTATCTTACAAATCCATAATTCTAATAGATATTATTAGAAATATGTTAGTAGTAAATGTCTTCAATAACTGTTAACTTAAAATGAAAGGCTTGTACTCCTATTATACTATCGTTATCTTGGTCTCCTTCAATAGCGGTTTTTATTTATTCAACTGCTTTATGTAATACTGCATCTATATTATCTTCATCTACATATTCATCAAAGTCATTCTTAAAGTAAATCTCTCCATAGCTACATTCATTGTTTCCATATTCCTTTTTTTAACTCTATAATTTAAATCATCTTCTACTTCTTCATAAATCAAAGATAGTAATTCTTCCTGGGTGGGAAATCCAGCGGTCCCGAAAAATATTAAGGGATCCGCCCGTCTGCATCGGTCTTTTTTTCTGTGCGCTGTGGGAGGTCGCAGCTCACAGGTCAGGCCTCAGCGGTGGGCCAAATGAAACGCCGCATGTGTTGTCTGTTCAAGCTACAGGTATCTGTGCGTATCTCACCCATGACCTGTTCATACAATTAAAAACGCGCTCTCTCTCTCTCTCAAGAAATAGAACTTCTCTCTCAAACAAAATTTTGCTCGAATCGCGGAGGCTTCTGATTGCAAGGCAATGGTAAGCGGTCATTGCTTGGTGCAGCTTTGGTACAGAAGCAAGGTAGTAAGGGTGGGTAGGCCTATTGAACACTGATTATTAACCAGAGAGCTGCCAAGCAAAGTGAACCCAGATTCATCTCTAAGCTAATTGACCCCTGAGCAAGCAAGATGAACACCCCTGTAAGAACTCAATCTAACTTGTCATTGAAAAGCTCAGCCTGAAAAGAACGGCCTGTCAGGCATGGGCATTTGTCCATTGCCGTGCAGAAGGATTGGGAGAAAGAGCGCTCAAAACCAAATGGCGCTGCAGCCTTGCCATAGACAAGCGGAGGAGCAAGCGCCCTTAACTTCCTCCCTTAAAACAATCCTCGCCATTCCCTGCAAAATCATCTGAGATGCAAAAACATCAGCAAAAACATCAGCAGATCTAGGGATCCGGCTGGAACAGCTGGGGCAGCTGGCTGCTATGGGTCGGCTCAGTCCTGCAAAGCGATAGCTGGCTTTAGAGCGATTGTTAGACCCGCAGCTGGCCTCCAAAGCGCGGCTGATTCTTGGAGCGAGAGTGGGCAAAAGGGAGCTGCACCAATTACCTTTGAGGTCGGCTGGGACAGCTGGGACGGCGGTTGGCAGGCAAAGTATTGAATCCAATCTACTACTACTGACATTATTGGGGCCACAATTCCCACATGTGTGGGCAGGGCGCTCCGAGCCAGGAGAGCCCAATTCTTCATGACTTGCAAGGCTTTGCAGGCATTGATGACAATCATTGCCTCTCCGCTGCTTCCATCCTGGACTTTTGCTGCCAAATCAGCCACACCTTTCAAGTGGCACAGAGGCGTCAACTCCCAGATAACCTGGGACCGAACAGCTTCGGCAGTCTCCCCAGACCAACGCCCAAACCATCGGCTGTAGGTGCCGTTCCTCAACTCCCAACATTGAAAAAAATTACTAGCGACACAGGCAAACTGCCAAGCTTACTGCACTACAAGTGAAGAAATAAGCGTAAATCTGCTGAGAAACCACGGTTGGGCGGATGTTTGCCCATCATCTGCAGAAATGCCTCCACCAAGGCGCCCCAATGCGCGAAGAGACTCAGCAAAGTGAATGCGCATGAGGTTCTGGCCTGGAAGCGCCAGCAAGTGCAACCTCAATGACTCAAGAGCATCGCTGGGCCACCTCTGAGATTCTTTCAATTGGTAATCAAATTCCTGGCGAGTTATTAAAAGCCACAAACAGGGCCAAACTCTATGAATTCATGATTGTTCCCAACAAGACACTCCATTAGAAAAATCAGACGCTGCCACTCATCCCTGCCACCCACACCCACCACCACCACCACCCACCACCCACCACCCACCACCTGCCACCCAGCCCCCAGCCTAAGCCCCTGCCTCCACCCATGATGAAAGCCTTCCTGATGACCAGTAAACAGTAGTATGCTGTCACAATGTGAACCCTGAATATGACCTATCAGCTCAATAGGAATCTGAGGGCCAATAACCTTTCATAGCAGTTATCTGACCCTTCAAACATCCAAATATGACTCAAAGGGGTGTTGCGGTGATTTGAAGGGTCCCTCCCCAGGCTGGAGGTATTATTTGCTGGTCGAGGCACATGTCTACGTCGACTTTCCACTCAGCCTTGCTCCGAAGGGAGGAGAAAATGAACTCCTTCTTCAGAGAGCCATCCAGGAATTGAGCTGCGATGGACAGCACGCTACTCAATCGGAGTTGAGCAACATCGCGGTTGGGCCGAATGAAATGCACCTGCCGGCCACAAAAACTGCCACAAACAAGCTAAGAGTGGAAGAAAAGAACTCGAAAGCGGATACTCCCATGTTTTGTGTGAAGCGGCCAGGCCTTTCCTTTCCTCTTCACTTTGCGGGTTGGAAGATAAGCTTTGCGCTCCCCAACGCCCCCAGTGGAACGGAAGAACTCCACGAGAGCAGCGACCAAGTTGAAACGGCTGCCTGTGGAGTTTGCAAACTCAGCCAGCCACTCTGCAAACCTGCCACAGAACACAGGGCATCCTGACTTCGCGTGCAATTGGATTCTCTGCTGCCACTTGAAGCACATGACGTGACTACAGGTCAGTGTGTCTAGCTGAAAACGTGCCTTCTTTGGCTAACTCAGTCGGTCAGAGGTCATATCAAAGCGAGACACAGTGGACTGCGCAAGTATGTGGCCATGATCACACACCCGAACTGCTCCAAGGCATCCAGCCGCTGCCGTGGCAACCAGAGCACTGAAGAAGCTTCTCCAAAGCAGCCGTAATCTTATCTGAGCCTTGGCGTGAAGGAAAGGGAAGGAAAGGGACCGACCAAAAGGGCAACCAAAGGAAACAGGTGGCCGTATTCCAGGCTCTTCAGCGCAACAATACCTGGAGCCAGAAACCGTTCTGTCCATAATTGCTACCACCCACTTCTGATGCTGAGTAGCAGCTGCTACCATGAGTAGTCAGTGGATGAGGCTGCAGCACTGCAAAAGACACCACCCCTCATGGTTGCCAACTAGTATACTATGACTACTCCAGTTCAGGCATGGCTGTGAGGATGCCCCTTGAGAACACCAATTCCCCATGTTCCAACCGCATTGAACGGTGTTGGTGTTTTCCTTGCCATTGACAATCAAGAACAATTTGCTGTTCTGCAATTTTACGAA